TTTTTTTTTTTTTTTCCTAATCTTAGGGGCACAAGGAATAGTGATGCATTTTACAAAGGATGCTGTCTAGGAATAGGACACATGGTCTATTAGAGGTGCTCTTGTCTCTTAGTATAAAGTAGTTAACACTTTAGGGTTGTTTTCCCTCCAATATTGGGGCAGACCATGACCTCTTTCAACAATAATCGAGTAGATAGGTAAAATCTAGCCTGGAAACCAGTGATAAATGTCACATAGTATAATGTGTGGAGAAATCATTTATGGGTTTGTGTGTACATCCAGACTTGATGAGCACCCTCTATGTTTTGTTTTCCTAGCCTGCTAGGTTGAAATAAATAGCAGGAGTTAAACACTTATAGGATCCAGTGCCAGTGCAGTTAAAAAGAAGAAAGGCCTCAGGTTATCCACTGTGCTTTCGAAACTGAGCAGCTGGGTCCTTCTGGAGAAGAGCCTGATATCAATAGGGACAGTCCACCTAAGATTTTACCTGGGGAGCTGGGAAGGAGACCTTCCCCACATGAGGCCTGAACGTGGCCTGTGTAAGCACAAGGGATGAGAACTGGGGACCTGGGGTTTTCCCTTTTGCCCTGCCTGTGGTTTGTGGGAACCAGGCCTCTGGATCTCTACCTGTCTCCGATGAGTAGACTAATTGAATTCTTTGTGGTTCAAATAAAGGTTGAAACTTAAAAGTTGACCAAGGAGACCGTATATCATTTAAAAAATGAAACGTACTTATTATAAAAGCAAGCTGTCCTCTTTGATTTATTTTTTAAGTTTGTTTATTTTTGAGAGAGTGCGAACAGGGGAGGGGCGGAGAGAGGGGGGAGGCAAGAGGGTCGGAAGGGTGGTTCTGCACTGTCCACACAGAGCCCGACGCGGGGCTCGAACTCACGGACCGTGAGATCATGACCTGAGCCAAAGTCGATGGTGCCAGGTGCCCCCAAGCTATATTCTTTTAATTTTTTAGTTGGTGAAAACGACTAGGTAAGGAGCATGAAGTAATTTCATCTCTGATACCAACTTCTAGAAACAGAAAGCTTAAATGACTTCACAGGCCCCGGGATCAGCCCAGGGAAGGTCTGGAGCTGCTGTGTTTGTTTTTGTTTTCGTTTTGTTGTTGTTTCTCTCTGCACAAGTGGCTTTGGGCAGATGGCTCCTTGTGCCTCAGTTTCCCAGTTTCCCATGACTCACTAATGGTAGTGACAACTTCAGAGTGCTCCTAAAGATGAAATGAATTCTATTCCTAAATGTTTCAAATTATGCCTGGAACATCTTAACAGCTCGTAGCGATTAAGAGCAGGTCACTTCTGAGCGCACTTGGCCGGCTAACTACTAACTTCTCAGGATGTCAGGAAAGCTGAAACGGAGTACCTGAGAAACCTAGTGCCCATCACATTCTCCCCACTCTTTTTTTTTTTTTTAAGTTTATTTATTTTGAGAGAGAGAGAGCGACAGTGGGGAAGGAGCAGAGAGAGAGAATCCCAGGCAGGCTCCAAGCTGTCAGCGCAGAGCCTGATGTAGGGCTTGAACCCACAAACTGTGAGATCATGACCTGAGCCGAAATCAAGAGTTGACGCTTAACTGACTGAGCGGCCCAGGCACCCCTCTTCCGACTCTTTTTGAAGCTCAAAGGGAGTTAGAAACTCAAAAGCCAGACTTTTCACTACTCTGGAGTAGTGATGACGATCATTGACGTTCTGTGTATCTGGTCTGTCCGTGCCATCATCAGGGCAGCATCTGTTCTGTTCCAGAGTTATTTGTTAACTCACATTTTTTATTCAGGTAACGGTGGGCTCCCGTGCAGTGAGAATTCACAGATCCTTACACGCTGTGACCAGTTCCCCCAGTGGTAGAATTTCGCGAAAACTATGATGTAACCGATAAGAACCAGGATATTGGCATGGACGGAACCTACTGGTCTCCTAGATTTCCCCCCATTTTATTTGTACTCCACGTGTGTAAGTGTGTTACCTTCTGCACAACTGTGTAGGTTTGTAATTCACAAGTTTTAAATCTAGCACTTGAGAGGATACATAGTATCCTAGTATTTGAGCCTGACACATAGTAAGGGTTCCTGTAGGAACCCACTGGAACAGTGGGACGGGGACAGAATTGGAGCCTGTGGCCCTGCCTCGCTGGGCTTTACTTGCCTCTAGGCAGGAATGTGGGCCCCTTGTTGCCCAATCCTCTGCTTCCTCCCCTCCCCCACCCCAAGATGAGTCCCCGTTTTGGTGGGAACCTCTCTGTTCCTGTTCCCACAGGTCCACTACATGACGCACGGAGCCAACAACAGTTCTGCACGCCGAGGGAGGAAGCTGGCCATCGAGAACACCATGGCTCTGTTAGGAACTGATGGGAAGAGAGTTCCTGAGATGTTTCCCAAGGAAATCCTGGCCCCTGCGGTGAGCGTGGACCCCGTCGTGTGGAACCAGTACACCACCATGCTCAACGGAGGCCTGGCCATGAAGACCAACGAAATCTCCGTGATCCAGAGTGGCGGCATCCCCACGCTCCCCGTTTCCCTGGGGGCTAGCTCCATTGTGAACAACACCACTATCTCCAAGTTGGACGGCTCCCAGTCTGCCCTCGGTGCCGAAGTGGAAAAACCGGGTGCTGCTGACGGTGTCCCCAAACACCAGTTCCCTCACTTCCTGGAAGAAAACAAGATTGCAGTCAGCTAAGCTCCGGGAGGGATCCCTGGTTGAGGGAGAAATGCAGAGGCAGAATGACCTCCCCGACTATACTTTT